GCTGATTTTTGGTAAATGATAGTTGTAATTAGTGACAACTGATAGAATACAACTGCAACAGGCTAATCATTTCATTGGCAGAAAACATTTACATTTTGTGGAGGCCGTCGTCACTTGTGGTGTATGGTCTGCACCCGACGCTCTTCTCGTTTTTGGAAGGGAGGGTAATTAACCTACTGACGACCGCGTGTGCATGTAACGTGGCACTTTTTTCGTATTTCTTCAATAGTCGCCAACTCATCGATGATTTCATTATTGATTATGAGTTGTTTCGCTGACTCCAGGTAATGTGTACACACTGTTTTGGAGCTTTGAGTATTGCCAAGTAAAGTAAGCAAAAGGGACCACTCCGGAACGCAGGTGTGGCCCACCGGTGGACAACACGGTCGCCAATGGGTAAAAGACGGGATATCCGCAAAATTTGTGGGTAGATACCAGAACGTCCACAAATATCCAACTACCCGATGGTCCCCGGGCGTTACACATTCGAATTCCTTAGAAATTCATGTAGGCAGTTGGATTCGCATTGAGCCCATACACGGCTGAATGGCCAGTCCTATATAACGTTCAAGCGACTACTCTCATCCCAGTGATACTGTACAGTCCCCTCCACTCCTATCAGAATACTCAGGTCCCCTAGTAAGTGGGTCCAAGACATGATTTTTACGTAAAATGCTCCTAAAAAGAGTCAATTTCAAATCATTGTTGGATAGCGATTATTTACAACAATGATCCACATGTTATTGTTGCTGCCTCCATAGACTTAAAGACACATCTCAGGCAGAAGTCGCCTGAACGGCTTCCTTCAGTCCACGGGGTATACCTCAATAGGACAATCACATGAGGCACAACGTGAAAAATCACCTGACAAAAGCGTTAGGGCTTGCAAAATAAGCTGCAGCAGCTGCATTTTTTCTTTCATCTGCTGTCTGGCGCCCTGCTCATTTTCTGCGCTCTCTCGCCTCTTACTCTCCTTCTCCGCGTTCAACCTCCCTTCCCTTAGCACAGCCGCATCACATAGGTGAGCAACCGTTAACCTAAACGTTATCGACCGGCTCTTTTCTTTTTCTTCACTGCCGGCACATTTTTCACGAATACGTTGATCCTAGAGGAACGCCTTTATTCGAAAAGTTGAGCATTTCTACCTTGCTTCAATTCCACACTATCATTTTCTGCATAGCCCCAGTAAAGTCGCGTAGGTACGTGCGACCCGCACAAAATCGTCGGATTCGCTCACGCTCACAATTGCCCGTCATGAGTGACCTGATTGCACAGGTTTCGATCATTTTTTTGCAGTAACACCTCTGCACACCTCGTCGAATTCAGGAGAGGTTTTATCACTCCTTTTGTTCCGATAGTGCCACTTTCCGCCTTTGAAGTTCTCTTTTTGCTGGAACGGAAGCTTAGTGCGATTGTTTTCCCAGGCTGTCCGTAATCGGATTGCCATGAATCATAACTCGTGCTCGGAATCATAAAAACTTATTTCGATGCGTTCAATCACGCAAATACAAACATTCTGCATATTTATTGACTCTGTTCTTACAACCACCTCACTGCCAACTGCAAGTCATCCAACGACTTGATACACAACCAAAATTGTTGCATTTCTGATTGAACCTCAAATGCAGGCCCTTTCAAGGGTCACGTCCCACCAAATAATAGTCGTTAATGAATCTTCCGTACTCTTCCATATTTTGTAGTGCTTTTATGCGAATTCTTCGTTCTATCTGGAAGTCACATAGATTGGTTCTTTTGATAGTCCGTTGTCAAGCTGGCTGAAGTGTACTGCTCTCGCTCGTCCTTCACATGCTCTCTCACTGAGAGTATGTTTCTTGTGCGCGGATTCCTTAATGCGTTTGTCTGTTTTGCACTCGTGACTTTTTCACCGTTTCACCAAAAAACGCGAAGCTTTCCCAGAGTTTCTATACTTCTTCTGCATCTCACTGGATGCCCCACTTGAACCGCACTTCCATTTCAAGCCGAACGACCCAACCTACCCGATGGTGGCCGCCTTTAAGCAGTTAAAAATACATGTTTGTTATACAATCAAAAGATCTGAGGGGTTGAACGGTTTGGGAGATGCTGAAAAATAATGGCAGTGTTGCTTCTTAAAATTTTCTTTGTGAATAGATACTACAACAAAGTCGCAACGGATTCACGTAGAAAAGCCTGAAAAATTTACAAATAAAAAAACAGTAAAATCAAAAGAATGCGCCACAATGTGTCACAGTCGGCGAATCTTGTTTTGAATTTAGTCAGCTTTTGTGAGCTTCCAAACATGTAAATGTAAATCGGGAAAAAATTCGGGTTTCGCCATCGGTAAACAACTAACACTGGGATAAGCCATGCATATTGTTTTCATGCAATGGAGTAACAGCTTTTGAAGGTGTGTAAAGCACATGCTGCCCCAAGTTAGTACAAATGCTTTATTTTTCAAGCTCGTATTTTTCTCTCCCTAGCATAAGTTCAGTGTTCAGCACCACTGCGAGCGTTTATAGGTAGTCAGTGCAAATTCTTCAATAAGCAAATAACTGTTATATAAGGTGGACGAGGCGATGACGATGTGAAATGCCTACGGTAGGGACTTTGAAAAGTGCTTAAAGCCGACACAATAGGGCATTTTTCCGAAGCGAATTGTGGGGGAGGGGAGACGAGGGAGATTCTTGGAGCCTACGAGAGCTTGGTCCTTCATTATCCGAGCAATTTTTATTATGGAAATTTTTTATAAGATTCCTCATGTCAACTCTTTCTGAAGCTTTATATTTTTTTCTAGGTTTGTAGCAATATACAGTCCTTATTACTTCACTCTCATTTTCTTGCATTATTTTTTCATATTCAACGGTTTCTGACACTAAATTCCAATGCGGTTGCTAATTTCGATCTCCAGCTGATCTGTATTACTTGAAGTATTTTACCTTCTGGTTCGCACAGGTCATTGTTTGTCCTAGTGGGCGTTGCGCGTAAGATGAGATAACCTGTTTGGGTCCTCATATTTTTTTCCTAAGATAAAGGGGTTTTAGTAACGAAGGGCGCAATGGTTAAATTGACTGAGCTATCCAGGATGACTACCGTCGAATTTACAACGGGTATTGATCCGTTTATGTTATCATTCTTAGTGTTTTCAATTTTTTTCCCAAAAAGCAATCCACTGCGTCCTGCTGTGTCAGCACAACGTCTTACTTGCTCTTGAATAGCTCACTTACACTGGAAAATTTCTAAAAATTTCTTTAGTAATTCATTTATGCTTGCGAGTGCCACATTACCTGCTTGTTTGCTTTCATCTGAGGGGGTGATATCCTCAGTGGGCGTAGCCTAGTATAAGGATCACTGAGTGGGCGTGACTCGTAAGCTAAGGTAGTGCTGTTTGTTTATTCTGAGATAGTTTGACCTCCAGTCTCTATATCCGAATTGAAGGCGCTTCAGTGCACATGATTTCGCAGTAGATGATTTCTCGTGGGGAAAAAAAACTGCGAAACAGTACGAGGTCGTCAATGGATCAATGCCCTCCAAATCGTCGACAGCAGCCGTTCCAGCTAATTCCATCGATTTCTACCGTTTTCATTTTCGAGTTAGAACTCTTGGTTACTACGGTCCTAATTCTTATATACATACCATTAGATGCTCAGACATCTCATTAAACAACGCGACGTTTAGACAGCGCATGTTTCCACCTTCTTTTCCATTACTATCTGTCCTGGACCTTTGTTTTTGCAATGAAAATTAACAGTGTATGGCCACCTTAGAGGCAAACCCCGGGATTAGCCCGACTAGTAGGAAGGATACCGCGAGAGAAAGGTCGTACCTACCTAGATCACTCCAGCTTCGTCGCAAAAATTGCGCGGTTAGGGCGCTAATCCTTACGGGCCTGCAACCATCGACCCCCGTTGCAACGCTTCCCACCCACCTCGATATCGGCGTGCTCTCTCGAACGGTGATCTCTCGCGTGTTTTGTCTTCTTTGACCGCCCTGCCATCGTTCCACATCCGACCTTTTTGAGGTTGAGCCTTAATTTCAGCGTTCTTGCGTTTCATTCTCCATTTCAGGTCTTTATTTTTGTTACGCAGCTAAGCTATCATGGAAGCGCTCAACGCACTTGCATCGAGTGTTTTGCCTTTAGAAGGCAGGTGATCCTGTGGAGGAGTTGCTTGCTGATTAGGAGTACGCACTAAGGTTATTTTGGTGATAGGCGCTTCACGTGGATGGGTCTCACCCAGCCCAGCCCGTACGGGGGATTGATCAACCCATAGACTTCGATGGGAGTCACGAAGCGTCACCTCCTCATACATTGCATGCGCTGCGTCAGACCAAGACCATTATAACGATGTTGCGGATGCAATATTCTGTCGTGCAACAAGGCGGGCCTAAGCGGCTTCATAATACGAAGTTATTACGAAAAAGTTAGCATTTTATTCATTCAGCTTTTTATTCTTGAAAAAAATTCTCCAAAACGAGTATCGATCTCCTGGCTGAGTTGTTCATTTGTTCAAATTTTTACAAAAAAGGCAGAGGGCAACCTTTGACGTCGAATTACATCGACTACAAATCCCTCATGGGTAGGCCTCTACAGTACTCGAGATGCTCAGAAGTAAATGATGCGGTTAACCCTGCTTCAAGTTCGGGGTGTTGCAGTGAGAGGACATGTCTAGAGATTTTTTTCAAAATCAATTTCACTTGAGAAATTGAAAATGGGTTCAGGTGTGATAGTGCACTGGATGATCCTTCTGAGCACGTCAAAAATAATTGTGCCGTAAAATCTATAAATAGCGTACAAGGCACAGGTTTAAATAAATGGAATGGAATCCGTGTTCATCGGCTCTTTCGAACATTGTTGATATGCGCTTTCACAGTCTTCAGCGATTCTCGCCACATTTCATGCGATTTCTTTTCGATTTAAAATCTCAAATCCCTTTGAACTGGACCCTATGGACTTATGTGATGCCTGTGTAATGAAAATGATTGTTTCAGCGAACTCTTCGTCATCTTTACACTGGAGCGCCGACATGGCCGAGCAGGCAACGCTGTCACTTCAGGTCAGTCACGATTCTTTCAGTGATGGAATACGGGCCCATTTTTGATAAATGATGATGATCGATTTGAAAAAAATATGGGAACAATAAATGGGCAAATGGAAAATCGTATAACTTCGTATAATGTATGAGACTAGGCGCCGATGTTTTTTTTTCATCGGTGTGATGGACGAGGCATCGAGTAATAGTGACGGACGAGGCGCTCTCACATAATGTGGGGGAAAAAGTGGTGTTGATTGTAATAGGGATTGAGATAGGATTTATGATTGTGTATTTGGTGAGACGAGGAAACGGTTAAGACAGTGCTCACAGTGATTGAATCATTCTACGATCTGCCACGTCCCTTTCGATTTGGAATAGTATTTCGCTTGCGGGCGACATATCGCAATGTTGGGGAGGGGGGGGGGGGAACCTTTAGACTGAGCATTAGGTGGGGAGGGGGGGGGTGCGAGGGAGGAGACGAAAGGGTCACGGCGGCGCGGACGCGATTGCGTGCCGATGACAGTACACTTGCAGCGACAGGCAGTGGAAAGTTTAGCCGCCTCCGCCAGAGTGAAAACCTTGTTAGTGTCACCGGAATGATTGTATCACGTATACCATTCACGATTATTGAGTGATTTTTCGATATAGTGAAACAAACCAATGCCCCTGCTGTCGAACGCTGTTGATGAGCACCAGTTAGGTGACTACAACAGGATGTTCGATTTACTTTTCCATCCTACGAGTCACTTACTGTCACGTTAGGAGTGTGATCGTTAGTGTTCGGGTTTGCGTTGCTGTTTTCTCGCGGCTCTGTGAGTGTGGGGCTCGCGTCCGGCCGAGGGTGGACTATTAGATGGAGCAGGAGGGTTTAGGAACCTGGGGGAAATGAAAGTGGCTCACGACCACTGGAGTCTCTCCTCCCTTACCTAAGGCTGAGTCCCAATGTTAACGAAAAGAAAACGTGTTACGAGATTTAAATGCAATGCCACCACAATGACCCCGTATATTGCGATAGGCGCCCACGTTTGTTTTCTGCTGTGTTTTTGATCGCAAGTTCGCACGATGGGAAGTACAACAGGAGATGGGGTGATGGCAAATACCATGAAAGCTAGGCTGATGTGAACAGTATTCCGGTGATGGTAACGGGTAGTCACTGACTGAATAAGGCGAGGGAGTACGAGTTTGTTCGTCTTGGACAGAGATTTCTGCTCTTACCCTCATTATTGGTGTGCGTGCTTGGCCTTGTGAAGCCACAGTGACGTGGGGTATTAGGATTTACTGTATTAATGTTTTTATCTTACATATAGACAAGACGACCCCGCCCCTGAGAATTTGGTTTGCTGTGGGTGCAGCGGGGTTGGATCTCTGGCGTGTGCGTGGGTAAGCACGCCATTTGTGACACACTTTCATCCTCAATTTCAGGACAAACTAAGCGCTAGGTCAGCTAGTTTTTAAGAAGACTCACAATGGAAAAATATTCCGACATACTTAAGGATCATGGGGGGATAAAAGAAGAGAAAAGCATGAGAAAAGGTCGAGAACGGTAAATGAGGACGATCTGCCCGTTGATTTCCGCCTTGATGCGACTTTCTCTTCAGACATGCTTTTTTTCTTGTTATGCTAATGCTCGCAATGTATAGACCTGCAGCGAGTGATTAGATAGTCGGTGGGCGTACCCGCACCAACCGCGCCAAGAGTGAGCCATGCTAGATCATCGGGGTCAAATCTTTCGCTGTCAAATGCGCGTCAGTTCGCACCCCCAGAAGGTTCGTCTGTCTTCTCACAAGGCGGTTTCACCCTTCTTCGACCTTCGTTCTTATCGTGGAATCCTTCAAAGGAGTACATCACGAGAAAGTCGAAGAATCGTATAACTTCGGGTGTTAGGCGCTTCATAGTTTTTTTTTCTCATTTCCTGCCATCACTGGACATCTCTACCCTCTTCTAATGAGCTGCTTTCTATGGAAAATCTTCTCGGTTGAAGGGGTGTTGGGGTGTTGAAGGAAAAGAAGATTTCCAATCGTGGGAGATCGTGCTTAGGCAATGTGGGTGTGCTGTTGTGATGTCTATCCCGCCGCTTATCCAATGCACAATGCCAGAGTTGATTAAATGCACAGTTTATTCAATATTCTGGTGCTTTTTCAGAGTCAGCTCAAACTCGCGAAGGACATGGGTTATCAAGAAGATGTCATTCTCGAAGCGCTGGCGACATTGGAGAAAGACAAAGAGGGGGTGCGTTCTGCTCTTCTGTCTTCCTATGATAAGCAGGAAAGGGAACAGACAGGAAGATGAGCATGAGATGCCTCTCAATAACTAGTATTATCTCTTGCTTACAGATGTATCTACCGTTCGAAAGTACAAACGCCATGCTTGATGCCTTGAATAGCACTTCTGTCCGTGTGAACTCGGCACAAATAGGTGATCCGTTGGAAAGGGATGTCAATGATCCGAGGTCTGCAGTTCACGCACGCATTCTCTTAATCAGGGAGTTTGAAATATCGCCGCGTTCAGGACGTATCGCAGTCCATCGAAGAACGTGCCGCGGTCGTCATCGTTCCATGCCGGATCGCCCTCCACAAGTCCACGAAGCGAACAACTCTCGAGGCTCCTCCGAACATTCGAACGGGAAAAAATCCGTGATCGTGAAGCGGCTGACAGTCACATGGCCAGGCTCAAGGTGACCGTTTCTCAGGTTTTGTTCAAAATAGTCCCTTCTGAAAACCAACAAGACCTTTAGGCACGAATCCACGACCTGGAGCGGATAAATGATCAGCATCAGATGACGGAAAGAGAGATGCGAGAGCGTCTACACGAATTACAACGTCGTAATGAAACCCTGGTAAGAAAATCAGATTTCGATAGTGACTATTAGAAGTGAGGAGCCTTTCACCCCATTTAGGACAAGGTCTTGCGCCAAATCGCAGAATAAATTGAGCATCACTAGCCGGTTCTTTCGGAGTGCGCCACGCATTCGATTTTTGATTGAGATCGTGTGATCATATGAAAAGGTATCTAAACCGCTTGGCGCTTAATGGTGTCTGCCAACATCAGGGCAGTGTTCTCACTCTTCCTGGTGAGCAGCCATGGGGTAAGCGACATGAGAGGTTCAGGCTGCTATGTTGCAGAGGTGGTGCGGTAGAAACTGCGCTCCCTCTGCGCCATTTCGAGATTGCCTATCACGAATTGAGAACAAAAGATGAAGGATAAAGCATTTGCCGTTGATCAATCCCTTTTGGGATGCGGCACGCATTCTACTTCCATTTGTACATTCGTAGTGGCGTTTGAATGCGATGTGGCCTATACAATGACTTGGGGGCCAGCCGATGTACAAGTCAGTTTTTATCCTCCCAGACAAGTCTGGTACCAATTAACCGACCCCGGAGGGATGGAAGGCTTGGTTGGCCCGGGCGACTCACGACCCAGGATTTGATCCCCGGACCGCGCGTGGTAAGCGTGCCACTTGCCACTACACCACTTCCGCCCGAGTTGCGACATAAAAGATAGAACTACGTCTTTGTCAATAGATCCCTTAGAAGCGCTATGCGCTGACTTCGATCAGGAATCGTGGTCGGTAATCAGAAGCGCGTTTCTCAAAACAATGTCGGGACAGCAGGTCTTCAAGTCCGTTTCGGATCTTCCCGAAATCAAGAATGCTACCGATCAATAGGCGCTAGAGGAACGCAAGGCTTCACTGGCGAGTTGACCGGGACCCTACACCTTCAAGGTGACCTGGAAGGGAAAGGGGAGGGGGACATCTGAAACTGCTCTACTCCGCCCAAACAGCAAGTCTATGACCGAAAGACAGCACTCACATACATTGGCTCAGAAATGTTATTTGTTGTAGAATGTTGAGTACAAGAAGAGTGAGAGAGAAAAGGAGCAGCTGAATCAAACAGTGATCGAGCTGCAAGCCTTGACGGATCGTTTGGTGAGTTGTTGCCTATCTTTTAGATTTTTGGCGAGAATATAAGACAATTTGTAGTTTCAGACGTTGGAGAATCTTCGAAATGAACACCAAGCGAAAGATCAGAAAGAGTTGGCCGAACATCGCAAGAAGCAGTACGATACGCAAATATCCGCTTTGGAGGAGGTATGTGTGATTCACAGCTTGAATTTTTCAACAGTATTGTGTCCAACGGCTCCTGGAAGTTATATAAAATAGCTGGTCGGAGGAACAGCCGGAGGATGCTGCCACTGAGCATGTTTCGGAAATAGATTGGGTGGAGGAAACTACAAGGATGACCATCTCTGGCGTTAGGCTTAGGACTAGAAGCACTCAATTTTGATTATACTAGCGATATCCGAAGGCAGAGCCTAATGTAGCAAATTCTCCAAGAATATAAGCATGATTGATCTGTCTAACAACTCACAGGAAAGATAAGAGAAGCCTGGGAATGACCAGTCTTTCCACGACAGGGTCGGGCTGGGTCTACCTCAGGGGATAAGGGGTGGCGGGGAGGAAGAAAGTGAGCTGTCTGATACGTATCGCACTTCATGGTTTGTGTGTCACCTTCGAAGGTAAGATAGTGCACGCTCTAATTGGAAGTAAAGGTCCACTCGGATTCATCCATCAGCGCACACATGTCCACTGTGCCCTCATTTTTGGAGCCACGAGTCAGGATTAGGTCTCAAGAGCCAGTCCCTTCTAGAGTGAGAAAGAGGGGTCTCCAAGGCAGGAGGCACGACACTGTCGCGACTCAAAAGTGCGAGGCAACGGCGCTAAGGCCTTGCCTTGTGTGCTGCCGTGCTGCCATCGTATCAACCACGGCATACGTGGTCTCTGCGTCCTCTCGCGTACGACGTACTATCTCGCGTTCTCCCTCTCCTCGCAGCGCTGTGTCTCTCCGTCGTACTACGGCCGGCCTCCTAAGGGAAATTTAGTGTTTTCTATGGTGCTTTTTGCTTTTTCTCCTCACTAATGTTCCTCATTGCACTCCTTGCCTAACTTTTGAGCGAAACGCATCATTTCGTTTCGTGCCTTTGAGGACACCCCGGCCTTCAAGATTTTGGAGATACTCCTTTGCGAATTTGGCCTGCACGGGGTCTTCGTAATGTTTGTGTCAGTGTCCAATCCCAACAGACTGCTGTGAAATCAAGTAGCCGACCATGGAGGTTGACCATTGAGGTTCGCAATTTGATCCCGTGGACTGTGTGGGGAACCTTGCCTTCTCTGCCCCTATGAAGAGTTACGTATCTACGCAAAATAAATAGGATCGCAGGTAAAATTAGTGTTGGTGGATAAATAATGGATCTAATTCTCTGAAGGACCGCCGTCGTCATCACCCATTCATATTCCATCATTTTAGTCAATTCGGACCCTCACCGAACGTTGTAACGCCTTAGCGGCGGACATCAAGGAGAAGGACCGGCAGCTGCGCGAGAAAACCAAACGAATTCAAGAGATCGAAGATCGCAACTCTCAATTGGTTTGTCCTAAACAGTTAGTGAGTATTTCTTTTGTATTTTTCGCCATCTTATCGAAACTCGTGTTAAGCAACCGGAAGCGTTGCTGGAAAAGATAATGACCGAATATCAGCTAAAACGAAAAGAAGAAGAGAAGCGAAAGGAAGCCAATGAGATTTTTAATAGGAAAATTACAAAATATCACGAACAATTGGTGAGTATTGCATGAATGCTCGCGGTACTCGTTGTGTACTGTTTTGAGAGTGTTGTATTTGATTTGGCCGAAGTCATGGCAGGGCTTTCTGAGATTGGTTGCGAAATTCCTTAGTTATTTCTGTGTCTCAGCTCTTCAGTTGTTTTGCGTGATTCTCCAAGAGAGCAATATTCAACCTGGAGGGGTCACTCTAATGTTCAGCGGTAACTTGCCTAAACATAACATTTATAAAAAACTAGATTTTTCACGATATGCTCCACGTTTTCTTGTTCTCGTTTTTCTACCCGGCGTTAATATCGCGCCGTATGGCTGGTGTCAGAGTTTGCGATCCGTCGCGCGAAACGCAAAAATTGTAAAAGCCCCAATCAAACATTTGAAGCAGTAAATATGAGACAAGTAGAAGCATGAACAGTCGACATTCAACCATCACCGTCAAGTAGAAATAGCCTCGAGAATGGAGAGCTCCTCGCAGTATCGATCGGGGCACTTGTGCTTCCTGTGATCCTCTCGCCGATCGCTCGAGTGCACGTATCGCAGACACTGACACCAGCTTATCAGATCGGAATGCTCATGGTCGCGCCTCATCATTTCTGGACATGTCGTGCCCTGGATTTTAAGTGAAGCACCTCATTTTTTTCTTAAACCTTCTCGCAGTAGCCGTCACCGTGTTTCAAAGGCAAGATTTGGGATAAAATAGGTGCGGAAAAGCGTTCAGTTATGAAGCTGAGGTGGGAGGTGGTCTGTAAAAGAGAAGGAAAGCAAACGAAACCACCGATCACGCCCCGCACAGAGACCTCCCCTATTTCAGCCGCACGTTCCACCTCAATATAGAAGAAAGGCGGTTCACGATTCCCGAATTAAACCTAGTGTTCCAGTGCCCAATGACATGCCCCAGAACCGCTGCCACCAAAACACCCGGGCCTTTCTAGAAGGAACGTCGTCAACCCGACAGCGGAGGCGTGCCTTGCAGACGAAGTTGTTTGGGGCGCAACGAGTTTCCTTCGCTTTCGTCGCGCATCTTATCAGACCGACCGTCATTAGTCGCGAACACGAATACGACGGAACAAGCGATGGAGCGATCGCGATCGCTCCATCGCTTGTCCGTCGCTTGCCAATCGCTCTTGGTCGAGCGATTGGCAAGCGATTGCGCAATCGCTTGCAAAGTGCACAAGCGACGGGCAATGGCTCTGCTCGATCGATACCGCAGCCGACTGCATTGACTGGGGGCGGGGCCAATCGCCCGTCGCTTGTGCACATTGCGCAATCGCTTGCCAATCGCTCGACCGAGAGCGATTGGCAAGCGACGGACAAGCGATGGAGCGAGCGCGATCGCTCCATCGCTTGGTCCTCGCCGACTTATACTCGTCTCAGCGGTAACAGGGGCGCCGACATCCACGTCTTTATGTCGCCTGTCTACTACGTCCGGGATGGAACCGACGAGCATCCTGATCCCCGAGCGTGCCTTTAGCAGGGTCAGCCACGTTCGGACAATTTTAAATTTTTACGATCCCCCTTTCTGCAGGGAGTTTCGATACCACTCCCCTACCACCACTGTTGGGGGTTATAGTAACGATTACGACCCTTCGCCTGGATCTGCCGGGTGGTTGGTTGACCTTGCTTCTTCCAGTGCTTTCCTTGTCTGATGATCATGTGAACTTGCACAGTCAGCATAGTCCATACTAAAACACTCGCAGCTCTATCGCCTTCATTCACGTGTGCATAATCGCCCTGACGTCCTCATTCCTGACCCTGTACGTCCCATCCATCCGCAGGTCTATCTCAGCATCCTCATTCCAGCAGAACTGCTTTTGAAGGTCTTTACTCATGGGTCAGTGCCTTTTGCCTTATTGTTAGAGCACCGTAGGCTTTACCATTTCACCGATACTCCTTGCTTTGAGCGTGCCCGATCACCTTAGAAGTGCCTGTGGATTTCTGCAACCTTCTTAGATGCCACGTTTATCGTGGACTCGAGTGCTTTCTGTGCTACCGTCAGTAGCTAGAGAGCTTAAAGTCAGACCTCTGAATTTCGCCAAAATTTTCCCAACTTCACAATAATTCCTCCTTTGGAGTCCTGAAATGCTTCACAATTTCAACGAATACTACTCATTCGCCTGGCACGAGACCGCTCTCAACACTTTATTGCTCTCAACGCAATGCACGCTTTGTCCCTGGGAATAAGGAAAGCTATACTATTGTACTTACCTATCTAACTGCATGTTCGTTTATTTGACCGCTTTCTGTCCGTCTGTGTGCCTGTTTGCTTTTTGTCTTTTCCCGGTCTACATTTCTGTTTGACTATCCATCTGTTTTTGATATGTCGTCTTCACCTAATTTATTTTCTCAAATTTTACTACTTTAAGTGGCGAGAAGGATTGCTTTTCAAATCCATGTTGAGTTTCCAGCGTCGTCTCAACATTTTCCCAATCAAAGTCGTTTCAGTTGGCGTCATTTCCTCGTCTGGAGGAGCAACGCCGACGCCTTGAAACAGAAAAGGAGCGCGCTGTCGAAGAAAGCGAGCAGTTACGCAGAGAGATCTCACGACTCAGAGAGAAGACCTGCGCCGAGTGCTGCATATGTCTAGCCACTAAGGTACGTTGATAGAATGTTGAGGTTTTAACCGAGTTCCGAAAGTCAAAGATCAGTGCGATTACTCCCAAACACCATTTCAAACTTCAAGAAAAGCTTCCATGGACCCAATTGGTTCTAGAAAGGTATCGCAATCACAGAACCTGGACCCACTTTAACAGGAAACCGGACTTGATGTCGTTCACCGCTAATTGATCTACAGGGGGTGGCTTCAGATGCCTGTCGACATGAAGCCGGTGGCAAACAAAGCCCACAGAGGTCAGAAATTGGCGCATTTTTTCGTTCCTTCTCAGGCAACTCGAACAAGCTACTTGTGTTAGGTGGGAAAAGCACAGGATTGGGGTTGATGTTAGAAATTTTCAAAGGCTCCCGCGAATTCGGAGTGTCACCTACCTAAAGCGAACTCTGCAGGCTATCTAGGAATGTCATGGGATTGACAAGTAAAGCCTTGATGGATATGCCCTTGCATGGAGTGAAAGACAATTCCCCTGCTTCCTCAATTCACTACTTTTTTGAACAACCTTAATTGACTTACTTTTTTGGGCTTTTTTCCGCTTCTTGTGAGGTTTTCCTGAAATATGACACCTT